CTATTGCATGGACGGAGAGAAAGCACTGAAAACATCGGACATCCATTAGTGCATGCGAGGGAAACAGCTGGAAACACGGCGCTGGTCGATCTCTCCATACTCAACACGACGGAATCCAACGGCGTGCACGGGCGAAGGTATAATACATGTATTAAATTGTATGAAATAATCCCGGAAAAGCAGAAACACAGCTGAGGGTGACGCTAACAGACAGCAGACAAACGACTAGCAGTGAAAGCGGCAGCATGAATCCACCTGTCACTCAAGTGGCCACGCCCTTAATTATGCAGAACTTTAAGGCTTAAATATAATTTAAACAGATGAGTTGTAAAAAAATTCACCCCCCTCACAGTTGTCATGAAGGGAAAAATGAGCTCTATAGACCAAAGCCACTTTTTGCTCCAGGCTGTAAACATGTTTTTTTCTGCTGTAATTGGGCATTTTAACATGGGGGAGATACAGATTTGAATCGCTTCTGCAGCCTGCCTCAAGCGGCCACTCGATAAATTGCAGTTTAATTCACTTCCGTATTGGCTTCAAGAGAGAGACGGGGAGGTTGCCGCTTGGTTAATAACTATTATAGCTCCCCTTGTGGTAAAACTGATCATGCAACATGTACTTGTGATGCGTTATAAATTGCATCATATTAAACACAAACATGAATTCAAGCTTTGGTAGCTAAAAAATATTTGCTTTCAAACGTGTGTATAGATGCTAGTAGAGATTTTTTGCTACAAGAAAAGGGTCAGATTTACTAACAGCTAACGTCAGCGCAAACCCTGTTTTGGCGTTCACCCAAAAATGAAAATTAAGTCATTAATTACTCACCCCCATGCTGTACCAACCCCGTAAGACCTTCGTTCGTCTTCGGAACACAAATGAAGATATTTTTGATTAAATTTGAGAGCTGTATAACTACCACATTGGCTCCTAAAGGACTGCCTCTTGACGGCCCAGAAAGTCAATGAAGAAAATGTTTAAATATCCCAAGTGACTACCGTGGCTCAACTATATGTTTATCAAGTGACGCGAATACTTTTTGTGCGAAAAAACAAACAAAAATAACACGTTTATTCGACTATTTCTTTTCTTCCTTGTAGGCCAGAACGAGACTTCCTTAGATTTCCACGACGCATGCGCGAGAATTGCGATCTGAAGTGGTGTAAGCTGGTGTCATAGACATATACACTAGACCTCACCTGGGGGTTCTAAGCATGCGTCAAAACCGCCGCCATCTTGGAACAGGGGTCTTGTCATAGGAAGTAGCTAGGTAACGCTGCTATCTCTGCCTTTACTTCGAATTCATTGATGGTGGCGGACTTTTGTGCAGCATATGATGTTCACCGATGAAATCTGAACTAGGAAGAATGTTTTAAAAATAAATAAATAAATAAATCTTTCTGGAATCAATGATAAATACATGTCTGACCGTTGGAACAAACAAAAAAAAAACAAGAAAAATCGCATTCATGATGATTTATGGTGATTTTATTTGCGTTAGACCTGTCTACTACATGGGCTATATGCACGCATAAGTTCCGCATTTGACGTAAGGATGCTCGTCCATTTCCGGTTGTGTAGATTAAAGCGGAGGAAAACCGGAGAAAACGGGATTATGGCAGAGTCTTCAATATTTACTGTCCTCCCGTCTTTGAAACGAAACGTACATACGTTTAGATGTAATTTTATATATAGTTATGTTTATTTAATATAATTTTAAAAAGAAGCATAAACACAACGAGGGGTGTCTGTTTTATCTGTTTTTGTGACTAACGTTTCATTAGTATAACCATGGAGTATAAAATTCAATATAAATTCTCGGTATTGCATTGGACTCTATGATCGGCGGAAGTTATCGAGCATCCTTAATCCTTCACCGGAAATACCGCTGTGCATAGAGCCCTTTGACGCTGATGCATTAAAGTGGAGGGGCTCCCCTGTTTCAAGATGGCGGCTCTATTGACGCATTCGTTCCAATGAACTGCCGTATCCAAGGTGAGGTCTAGTGTATATGTCTATGAGCTGGTGTAAGCAGATCGCAATTCTCGCGCATGCGTCGTGGAAATCTAAGGAAGTCTCGTTCTGGCCTACAAGGAAGAAAAGAAATAGTCGAATAAACTCGTTATTTTTGTTTGTTTTTTCGCACAAAAAGTATTCGCGTCGCTTGATAAACATATAGTTGAGCCACGGTAGTCACTTGGGATATTTAAACATTTTCTTCATTGACTTTCTGGGCCGTCAAGAGGCAGTCCCTTAGGAGCCAATGTGGTAGTTATACAGCTCTCAAATTTAATCAAAAATATCTTCATTTGTGTTCCGAAGACGAACGGGGTTGGTACAGCATGGGGGTGAGTAATTAATGACTTAATTTTCATTTTTGGGTGAACTAACCCTTTAAATACTGTCAGGATTTAGGCACACAGTGAAAAATTTGCTCTGAAAAGGCGTGGACACACGCAGCTGACCTTATTGCATATGCATTTCTAGGAGTTTCCCATTCATAAGCAAAATTTAAGATAGGAGAGTTTTTAAATGTATCATACAAGGTGATATACTAAGGTTTGCGCTAGTTAATTCACAGTTTTTCGCGCCATTATTTACCGCCCGCTGCTTGTCTAAAACCAGACGCAAATTTGGGCTGCTCTTGTGTTGGTCGTTATGGAACGACCACTGTGTTCTAATGTAATCATTCTGGTTCTACTTGCACCAATCAGGGGTGCGTTTCCCGTACAACGACGTAGTTCGCTGATTCACTACCATAGTACGATGCATCGTTGGTGAAATCAACTAGCTAGTTACGACTGTTTCCCGAAACCCACTGTCGCAAAGTATCGTTTAACCACGTTGGTTTCGCACGTGGTGGAGTAATAACTACTTTTAATGAAACTGTTTGAAATCCAATTAACGCTAGATTTGTTTTATATAAATTACGGACATGTCATTTGAGGACTATTTCTAATTGTTCTCAGTTGTTTTGCTTTATTACCAGACTCAATATTTGGCTCGTTCTTACATAGTAGAGCACGTTCGCACATGCGCACTCTTCAAACACGTTACTTCAAATCTTTTGACAAACTACAAGACGTAAATTACATTTGTATGTATTCTAATTAAAAGGCACCGGTTGTACTGAATGTCAGCTTGCTTATTTTGCTCAATATAAGGATTTATTACCTCCAAATGTGATGCAATATAGAAACGATGCCTCTAATCACAGGTCGAGAGCTGTCGTTCAAAACCACACAACTTTGCGATGCTGTTTGCGAATGTTCGTTGGAACGATGGTTTCGGGAAACACCGACTCGTTGAACTATGCTGATAACGACGGAACTTGCGACCATATTTGGCTAACGATGCTTTCGGGAAACGCACCCCTGAGCGGGATTCGAACCAACATTTTTGGCATGGGAGGCTAGTGTGCTAACAAGGACGCTAAAGACCACAGCGTCTAGAGTCAGACGCTAATTTGCTCATACACAGCTCATACTAACTAGCCTCTGTTACACTCGCCCCCCTAACACTCGCCCCCAACCAGGATTCCAGCTGCCGTATCTGGCATGGGAAGCGAGTGCGCTAACGAAGGCGCTTAAAGGAGTAGTTCACTTTTCAAAAAAACTTTTGCTGATAATTTACTCACCCCGATGTTGTCCAAGATGTCCATGTCATTCTTTCTTCAGTCGAAAAGAAATTAAGGTTTTTGATGAAAACATTCCAGTATTTTTCTCCATATATTGGACTTAAGTGGGAACCAATCGGTTCAAGGTCCAAAAGACAGTTTCAGTGCAAACTGCAAACTCAGGTGTGTTTGATCAGGGTTGGAGCTAAACTCTGCAGGACTGCGACCCTCCAGGAAAGAGTTTGAGAAACCCTGCTTTAAACGATTCCAGATGATGAATAAGGGTCTTATCAAGCGAAAGGATCGCTCATTTAATAAATAACAAAGTTTAAGATTTACAAGCTCTAATGGTCGCCTTGCTCTGTTCTGTGACGCACGTTTGTGACTCTCCTGTTCGAAACGAATCGTTTTCTGAGTCAATTGGTTCGTTTTGTTTGTTGAATGAACGAAATGACTCGGAAAAAGATTTGTTCATTTTGATGTACGAGTTCGAATAGGATAGTCACAAATGTGCATCACAGAATGGAGCAAGGCCACCATTTGAGCTTATAAAACTTAAACTGTTGTTTCGCTTGATAAGACCCTTGTTCACGATCTGGAATCGTTTAAAGCCCTTTGAACAGTTTGTAGTTTGCACTGAAACTGTCTTTTGGACCTTGAACCGTTTGGTTCCCGTTGAAGTCCATTATATGGAGAAAAATCCTGGAATGTTTTCATCAAAAACCTTTATTTCTTTTTGACTGAAGAAAGAATGACATGGATATCTTGGATGACATGGGGGTGAGTAAATTATCAGCAAAAGTTTTTTTCAAAAGTGAACTACTCCTTTAAGACTACAGCCTCTAGAGTCAGTCGCTAGTGCGCCTCTTGAGGCCAGGAGAGTGAGGTTTACTCTTTTAATCTCTTTCTAGCTTGCCTCCGTTACTCTAACATTTCCTGAATAAAATATTTTTTATATCTGCACTTAAACAAAAAATCAGTTTGAAAATGAACAACAACAGCCATTCAGGGGCAAAAAAACAAAGATGTTTCATGTTTATCTAAATAAAACTGATGTGAAATATAGATCCCACTTTATTGGTTAATGCTTGTTATTGTTGTACATACAGCCTCTGTATTAAGCAGTAGCTGCAGTACATAAAGTATTAATTAAGTTTTGTTGCTACATATCCGAAACATCTGTTTATTTGAAAAATGTTGCATTTAATTCACTTTATCTGTGATAAAGCAAACACAGAGAAAGCTTCCCTACAGGAAGCAAGCAGAAATTGCCTGACTTATCTTCTCCTTTTTTCAACTCCTCCCCTGACTGCAAGTGTTTATACTGCAATAGTGTTAAATATGAATTAGAACACATTTCACATGTTTTCTATATGTTTCATAGGGTAAGAAACTGTCTGCAAATATAGACGAGAACGCAGAGGAGGGGGATGTGTCTGATGAAGACAGTGCAGATGAGATGGAGGACGACTGCAAGCTGATGAATGGAGATGTAAGTCATTTTTGATGATTATATGGTGAATTTTAAATTATATTTAGTGGAAAAAATCTGTTAACTTTTAGTAATCCGATCAAACAATGAGAGAGTAGCCTAATGTGCATTGTGGGATACGATATTCAATGCTGTCCGCTGTTATATTATACACTGCGCATATAGTAGGTCATTCATATGAATATATACTTCATCATTTATAAATATAAGATTTTAGTATTATGAACTCTGATGAAACATTTCTTTCTTCAAAAACTCTGATTGTGTATTACTGATACTACAAAAACTATAGTTCTGTTTTCTTATAATTGTCCTTCACAAATGTTTTTCATATTAAAATAATAGGAATGGGAGTTTTTTCACATTATAGAACTTCTACTAAGAGATTTAATTTTTATTTATCATGAAAATAATGTCATTAGTCTTCATTTTCTAAATGCAAAATATAATGTGTTTTATTATTATTGTTTCATTTAGGGTTAAAATATCCCCTAGACATATTCTTGAAAGTTTCAATGAGAAACGCCTTAATCCTCAATTCTTCAAGTCCTTCTATGTCTGGCATGTTATTTTAGCTGCTTCCTTTATATTATTGTACTGCTTGCAAAGGGCTCTTAGAGAAAACTCAATGGCTCATGCATTTTCGATGAAAGCTCCTCTCTCTTTTAAGTGCCGTAATGTAAAAATAAAGCAGACATTTTTGTAAGTGAATTTGTCATGAATTTTTTCTGTGTGTAAAATTGGGGCAAGGAATTGTGCTGAACTGACCTGGATATTTTGATGAATGGTTTTGACCTTGATGTTCTCTGTAGAAAGTTGCAGATGCTATTGCAATGCTAATCTTAAAGGGACAGTTCACTTTGAAATAATTTTTTGGTATGTTTTAGCTTACCTCAAGGGCATCCAATATGTAGGTGTCTTTGTTTCTGCAGTAGTTTCAATTTTGAAATTTTAAGGTCAAACCTTTCGTGTCTATCAATCATATAATGCAGGTCTATGGTCACCACCTCAAAGAGCATGCACAGAGAAGTCCAAATTAAACATGATTTAATGACTCGTAAATGTAAGTACACATTGATGGCCTAAGACACGAAACGAGCGGTTTGTGTGAGAAAACGAACAGTATTTATATCGTTTTCTCTTGTAACCACAGCAACGTCCGAGTGATCTAAGGGCGCGGGCGCTTTTGTCGCTGTGGTAACAAGAGGTGAAAAAACGATATAAAAACTGTTTGTTTTCTCACACAAACCGCTCGTTTCGTGTCTTAGGCCATCAATGTGTACTTACATTTATGAGTCATTAAATCATGTTCAATTTGGACTTCTCTGTGCATGATCTTTGAGGTGGTGACCATAGACCTGCATTATATGACTGACAGACAAGAACGGTTTGGCCTAAAAATATCAAAATTGAAACTACTGTGGAAACAAAGACACCTACATCTTGGATGCCCTTGAGGTAAGTTAAAACATACCAAAAATGAATTTCAAAGTGAACTATCCCTTTAAGGCATCACATTAGGTCCATTCAAATTCAGTTATCTCTGGGTCTACTCCTTTACAGACATCCATGAACAGGAAGCAGGCGGAAAATGTTGCAAAGAAAAAATTAGATAACCTCATGAAGGAGTCAAAGATTCGTGACCGGGAAGATCCAGACAGCTTTACCATGGCAGCCCTGCCGCCCACGGGAAAACATGACAAATCACCACTGAAGGTTAATACACTGTACTTGACCCAAACTGCATTCATGGAGAGGAAATGTTACCATATTTACACACTGCAAAAAATCAAGTTCTTACTTAGTATTTTTGACTTGTTTTCCAGTAAATATCTTAACATTTTTAAATCAAGATGCATTTAAATGAGAAACAAAAAAAACATAGTCACACAATTGAAATGAAGCAAGTTTATGTCTAAAATAATAACAAATATTTTCTTATTACTGTAATACTTTCTTAAATATTTCTTTCTTTTTTTTTTGCTTTTTTTTTTTTTTTGCTTCTCAATTTTTTTTATATTTGTACTGGAAAACAAGAATTACTGAGTAAGATTTTATTTTATTTTATTTTTGATGGCAGTGCAAACAAATGCACCCTATTCAACTTTTGTTGCGTTGCATTCTATTTTCTATTCTATTTTAATGCACATGGATCATTGTACTTTGTTTATTCATTTCTCAGATTTGTTTTTAAATTGAATTAATCATCAATTTTTACACTTAATATTTAGAGAAAAAAGAGACTATAACCTAAAAGCCAAATGACATATTGTAAACTGATCATTTAATCTTTAAAATATTTTAAAATTTCAGACAAAAAACTGTTCTCTTACCTTTTACTCAATTAAACGGTTCAGCAAGTGCTCTAATTAGGTTAGTTCTGCCCTTGTACAGATGTGTACAGTGGTGTGAATAAGTGTTTGCCCCCATGCTAAAGTTGCCTAAAAAGAGGAATAAAAAAATCATCTTTTGGATATTGATCTTAATGCCTTAATTAGAAAAATGAGGAAAACTCCAACCTTTAAGGACACAAATTTTCTTTGTGAATGAATAATGTATCATAAATAAATAAATGTTTTTCCTTAAAATACAGGGTGCATAAGGCATTGCCCCCCTATGTTAAATTCCCATAGAGTCAGGCAGATTTTTATTTTTAAAAGCCAGTTATTTCATGGATCCAGGATAATATGCATCCTGATAAAGTTCCCTTGGCCTTTGGAATTAAAATATCCCCACACCTTCCACCACACCTAGAGATTGGCATGGGGTACTTTCCAGATAAGATCATCTTTCAATGCAAATCAAACCAGCTATTAGGCTAACTGAAGTAAAACCATGCCAATCTCTAGATGTGGTGGAAGGTGTGTGATGATGTGGGGATATTTTAATTCCAAAGGCCAAGGGAACTTTACCAGGATGCATATTATCCTGGATCCATGAAATAACTGGCTTTTAAAAATAAAAATCTGCCTGACTCTATGGGAATTTAACATAGGGGGGCAATGACTTATGCACCCTGTATTTTAAGGAAAAACATTTATTTATTTATGATACATTATTCATTCACAAAGAAAATTTGTGTCCGTAAAGGTTGGAGTTTTCCTCATTTTTCTAATTAAGGCATTAAGATCAATATCCAAAAGATGATTTTTTATTCCTCTTTTTAGGCAACTTTAGCATGGGGGCAAACACTTATATAGTGTGGTTGTTTACTTAAGACAACTACACCCTTGATGGCCAATGATATAGGCAAGGGGGACAATATGATGTATTTTTGTAGCATTTTCCCCTGAAGTCCACTCTCTCCCTGACACTCAGCCTGTTTAGCCGGCACAATCAACCATTTGGAAAGAGCGAGAACAATCCTGTTTAAATAGGTTGCTACCGCCACCTAGTGATCATTGTGTCAAAGAATAAGTCTGTTTTCCATTCGCGGCAAAGTGTGTATCTATACTTACTGTAACTGCCCACTGTGAGTGTCATGATAATGTCTAGTGTAGCCTATATTTAATGTATACAGTCCAGATTGTCACTGCTATGCATATATATTTTGAACTCAGGGGAAAGCAGAAGACAGCACTGACACTGGAGATGAGGCCAACGTCGGTGGCAACAAACGTGTGTCTAAATCTTTCATGGGGAGCTTTTCCAAACGCAAGGTGCTTATAGATTACTTCGCAAACACACCCACATTCAACAAAACAATGTTTCTTCCCATAACAACACACTGCACACACTGAAACAGACATCCTCTGCTGCATAAATCAATTATTTATACTGAATGAATGATTCATAGAAATAATAAAATGTGTGTACATGCAGCTCTCTGGAATACTTGATTCAGCTGTGTAATAATAAACGCTTTGTGAGTCCTGATCACCCATTCGAGGTTTATTTTCCAATAGTGTTTGGCTATGTCTTACGTATTGACTTTATTAACACTGCATCACCCCAACTCCATCTGTGCGCTGTAGAAAAAGACGAGTAAACTGAAAAAATCCTCCAGTTTTGAGGATACGGACACCGATCAGGAGAGCTCGAGTGGCGCGTCTAAAGCACCAGCGCATCACAGCAGGTACCATTAGAATTGCTCATGTGTGAATTTATACTGTATAGTTAAATATTTCAATATTTTGTGTGAATGTGCTTCAACCTTCATGCAACTGTGACTGTAATCTGTTTTCACAGAAAGAAAAAAACCATGAAGTTGTCAAGAGCACTTTCTGATCTGGTATACACGAAATCTGTCGGCATACCAGACTTTGAGGCACAAGGTGAGAACAACAGAACATATATGTGAAAATCTCTTAACATTTGCACACAGAACACTTTCTGTGAGATTTAGTATTACAAGCCTTTATTTAGGCTCTAGAGTGAAACTACATTGAACACTTAACCAATCGAAATCCATTAGAAATGTTTATTTTATTAAAGCTACACTGTGTGATTTTTACCCCCATCTAGCTGTGAAAACATATATGTCCATCCAGTGAATATTAGTTTCTGTTCCTCTCAATTCCGATTTCGTTTGAACTCCTACGGTGGCCAATGTAGTCCAAGATTAACATGGCTTCCAGTTCGACCTCGTCCATGAGTGTTAATTCAAACGTAAACGCGAAAGGCGAAGCTTGAATTAACGGATATGTCCCTCTTTGGCTAATGCACTTTCAAGATGGATGGGCAACATGGTGACCGACATATTATACACTCACGAGAATACTTTATTACTTGAACGAACTAAATATACATTAATGAGCACATATATTTTTGAAAGAACTAAGTGTTTTTAGCTAAGAATAAACTAAAAGAGTTACACAGTGTAGCTTTAAAGGATTAGTTCACTTCAGAATTTACGTCATCCAAGATGTCCATGTCTTTCTTTCTTCAGTCGATAAGAAATACGTTTTTTGAAGAAAACACTCTAGAAATGTTCTCCATATAGTGGACTTCAACAGTTTGAAGGTCCAGATTGCCATTTCAATGCAGCTTCGAAGGCTCTACATGAACCCAGCCGAGGAATAAGGGTCTTAAATAGCGAAACGATCAGTCATTTTCTAAAAAAAAAAAAGTTGAAATACTTTTTAACCACAAATGCTCAGCTTGCACTTGCTCTGCCATGCACGGCGCATTACATAATCACATTGAAAGGTCAAGCGGGATGTAGGTGGAAGTGTGCAAACCAAATGTGCAAAGACTGTCTAACGCCCTTTAAAAAAATAAATAAATAAATGAAAGGTAAAACAATGATGCCAGATGATTTTGAAGTTGGAAGAGAACATTTTGCTGTTCATACCGGGACGAATTTCACGTGCGTTATTTACCGATGTTTAACGCCTTGTGACTAAACAAAGGACGCCAATGTGAGTGTGCACACCGACGTGTAAAACGCCATGCGTAAAAGCGTATTTTTTTTTAAAAAAAACACATCGAGCTTTTTTAGTTTGACACGCTGCGTCAAAAACTGTCCGACCAGTGAGATTGGCGCTTTTGCTCACTTGTTTGGAGCTTCTGAAGTTATAGTAAAACACTTGTGGGCGCTCAAACTTGGGGGCGCTCAAACACAAAACGGTCTTGCCGAGCACACATATGCAATGGCGAAGAAGATAAAAGCCAAGTAGCGGCGCCGTCTACACAGCCAGGAAGAAATAAGATGAGGAAGATGCAAGGCAAGATGAATGTAGAGCTGATGTTCTCGTTGGTGTGAGAACATAAAGAACCATATGACAAACGTGACAGCGACTATAAACATCTTGATAAAAGAGAACTTTTATGGAGTGGTATTGCAGAGCAAATTGGCACCATCTAATGTCAGGGAATGAATTTGCATGTTCACTCGGCTCATCGTCAGCGAAAATCGCTCGAGTGTGAACACAAAAACGCTGACGAATAACGCGTGCTGCTGATATTCGTCCTGGTGTGTACGGGCCTTTATTCCTCGGCTGGGATCGAGCAGAGCCTTTAAAGCTGCATTGAAACTGCAAATTGGACCTCCAAACCATTGAACCCCATTGAAGAGCACTATAGAGAAAAATCCTGGAATGTTTTCCTCAAAAACCTTAATTTCTTTCCAGCCGAAGAAAGAAAGACATTAACAGGATGACGTGTGGATGAGTAAATTATCAGAAAATGTTTAGTTCTGAAGTAAACTAATCCTTTAAGGTTATATTAAAGTTCATTACACAGAAATTACACTGAATAAAAAATGGTGAAGGTTTTACTTTGAAACAATTTTTATTCAGAAATAAAATAACAAATAATTACAAAGAAAAAGCAAAAAAAAAAACATTACATTTTTTAAAAAATGAAATTTTAAAGTGGAAAGACATAGAGGGCCCCATTTTAACGATCTGACACTCAAGTGTCAAGCTGTGATCTCGGGGCTGTTACTATTTAACCGGCGGGATAAATGACTTTTGCGCTCGACGCAAATCTAAAAGGGGTTGGTCTGAAGTAGCTTCATTATTCATAGGTGTGGTTTGGGCGTAACGGGAAACTAGAACATCATATCACATTCCATTTAAGAGCATTATAAACGACGTACGCTTGTTCCATGGTGCAATACTGTACTATTATACTGGCGCATTTTGGTTCACAGCCGACAAGATTCTCGTCAGGGCCATAAAAGAAAGATAAGGGACATTGGGAATGGGACAAACCCACCCAAATTAGCTTCGGTTAAACATGCATATAATCATTTGGGTAAATGTGTAAGCTTTATACCTGTCCCATCGTCATGGACACAACAATGATTTCCCTCGTGATTTGATATTTTTCCTTATAATAATGTATCATTTGCAAAAAGTAAAATGCATCCGTGTAGACGAGAGAATCATCTACTGTGTATGCGCGTTGTTCACACTCTGTATTAAGGCCAAGCATTTGCGCTTAAAATAACATCTGAATGTACGCGCAACGCGCCACTGACTTTAGACTAGTTTTTTTTTTTCTGGTCAGTGGCACAATTGTTTTCTGGAACTGCAAAATAGCACCAGGGGTTGTTTCCGGAACACGCCTCCTTTTTTGCGCTGAACAGCCCAGGGAGCGCCAGTTCATTCCCTAGTCTGCCGGCGTGCGTCTGTGAAGGAAAAAGTCCACTTTACATGGGGGCAAAATACGAATGATCCATCAATTGTGCCGGTTGCAAGATAGGGCCCATAGTATTTTAGTAGTATTATTTCTATTTTTAAATTAGTAAAAAGTACTTTGTTTTATTTTTATCAAAAAATTAATTTACTAATTATTTATTAATTAAAGGAGTAGTTCACTTTTTAAAAAAAACTTTTGCTGATAATTTACTCACCCCCATGTCACCCAAGATGTCCATGTCTTTCTTTCTTCAGTCGAAAAGAAATTAAGGTTTTTGATGAAAACATTCCAGTATTTTTCTCCATATAATGGACTTCAGTGGGAACCAAACGGTTCAAGGTCCAAAAGACACTTTCAGTACAACTGCAAACTGTTCAAACTGGGCTTTAAACGATTTCAGACGATGAACAAGGGTCTTATCAAGCGAAGCGATTGCTCATTTTAAAAAAATAAATAACAAAGATTAAGTTTATTAGCTCAAATGCTCGCCTTACTCTGTTCTGTGATGCGCGTTTGTGACTCTCCTATTCGAACTCGTTCATCAAACTGAAAAAATCTTTTTTTTGAGTCATTTGGTTGATTCAACAAACAAAATGAACGAATTGACTCGGAAAAAGATTCATTCGTTTTGATGAACGAGTTCGAACAGGAGAGTCACGAACGCTGCACTGAAACTCTCATTTGGACCTTGAACCATTTGGTTCCCAATGAAGTCCATTATAAGGAGAAAATCCTGGAATGTTTTCATCAAAAACCTTAATTTATTTTCGACTGAAGAAAGAAAGACATGGACATCTTGGATGACATGGGGGTGAGTAAATTATCAGCAAAAGTTTTTTTTTTTTTTTTTTTTTTATGTGAACTACTCGTTTAACTCATTTGGAAAAAGGATTAAGAAAAAACACTTGGTAAATATGTCTGTTTATTTTTGTATTTGTGATTTTCTATTTGACTAATATTTGCCTCTATTTTTAAGTAGCACTCATCCTCCAAATTGCTCCAGTTGTTCAGATGGGTGTAGTCCAGTGTTTATATGTCAGCACCTCGTGCCTGTGGTTTGCTCTGCAGTGAGCAGCTGCAGTTGGCAGGTGTCGTCGATGAGCGAGACCAAGGCCCATCAGTTAATGCAGCAGAAGCCAGTGCAGTTTGTCCGATTCAACCAGCGCCAGCTCTCCCGCATCTACCCCTCCCCTTATCGTGTGGACTCCAGCAACTTCAACCCACAGCCCTTCTGGAACGCTGGCTGCCACCTGGGTACGCCAGTCCACCCACAAACAAATATTTATGTTTATTGGAGAGACCAAGAATAAACCGTATGCCTGAAACATACTGGGAACCTGCTGTTCATTATTCAATTGACAATGGTTCAATTCTTTAAAGACACAAGTGGATTTACAGGAATTATTAATAATAAAAAAGGCTCATTTTTATTTTAATTGCTGGAATGGCCCTACACCACAGATATGCTAGTAAATATAATCGTAATTGTCACTTTTTCTTTTTCTTTAAGTTGCTTTGAACTACCAGTCAGAGGGCAGGGTGCTACAACTCAACAGAGCCAAGTTTAATTGCAACGGCAACTGTGGTTACATCCAGAAACCTGCCTGCATGTGTGAAGGTGAGTTTCTGCATTCCTAGGTTGATAGTTTATTGTGTATGTTTATATATGTATAATATCTTCCTGATTTTGTTATATTTCACTATAGTGTTGCTGCATTGTTATTTTTATTCGATTATACTGTATATTACACAGTCAAACCAAAAATTATTCAGACATCAGATATCATTTTTGATATTTTTTTACTAGGCCTAGTAGGTGCAGGACACTATAATTCATTTATCGGTCCCACTTTATATTAAGTGGCTTTAAGTACTATGTACTTACATTGAAATTAATAATTTGATACAATAGAGTTATTGTGTACATAGATGTTTTTACATTGTACTTATATTTTAAAAATACCAGCATGTAATTACAGCTATAATTACTTTATGTAATTACATTTGTAATTACACAGTTGACCCTCCCCTCACACCTTAACTTACCCTTAAACCTACACATACCACCACACCATTCCATAACCTTACCAAGATCACACCTCAATAGCAGCAAAAGTGTTTTACAATACAACAGGAACAAAATAATACATTGTACTTATTGTTTAATGTAAGTACATAGTACTTAAAGCCACTTAATATAAAGTGGGACCCATTTATCTAAGTGAGGATCACAAAATAAAGTAAACTGTGACATATTATACACAACATTTCTACATACGGTGGACTACCAGTAAAAATAATATGTGACCAAAAATTATTAAGACACTTTGACCTTTTCATGTTTTGCTTACGTTTTTTTTTTTTTTTTTTTTTTTATTGATAATGCGAACTTTTTAAACCACAGACTGAACAAAATTAAGCATTGATTGCTAGTTAGTTGACCAAAATTGGTATGATCTGTCAGCTATTCAACATAATTCATTTGTGAGACAGTCTAACAGAAGGACGGCCAAAACCAGTGAAACATTTTATTACCATTTTCTAAACTATAGCGAATAAACTGTGATTACAGTATGTGAGAAATGATGAAAGTGTCTGAATGAATTTTGGTTTGATTGTATATTCCATTCAGGAATATTCCATTCAGATTTTACTCTTATATTAATCACAAAATCAATATAATACAATTTTAATGTCAATAAATGGGCTCTATGCACGGCGGTATTTCCAGTCCAATACAATAACGAAACGTTAGTCACAAAAACGGACAAAACAGACACCCCTCGTTGTGTTTATGCTTCTATTTTAAAATGATATTAAATAAACATAACTATATATAAAATTACATCTAAACGTATGAAAGTTTCGTTTCAAAGACGGGAGGACAGTAAATATTGAAGACTCTGCCATAATCCCGTTTTCCCCGGTTTTCCTCCGCTTTAATCTCCCCAACCGGAAACTGACGAGCATCCTTGCGTCAAATGCGGAACTTATGCGTGCATATAGCCCGTTACATTTATTGTTATATAAACAAAACAATGCCATTTATTAAGGAAATGAATAAGAAACATGTCCAATACAGGCAACAATGGACAGCAATGAACAATATTCAATAGATCAGTTGATCATTCTATAGATCAAGTCAATGTTAAGGTAAAGCCAAACTAGGAATCTACGTATTTCGCAATAGAGTTGTTGATGTTCTGAGATATGGAATTTGAAATATGGAATTCTGTTATCCTTTGTTCTTGCAGGTTCTTTTAATCCAATGGCAGATGATCCTTTACCAGGTCGGTTGAAAAAACAATTGGTTCTTAAGGTCATCAGTGGCCAGCAATTACCCAAACCCAAAGACTCCATGCTGGGTGACCGAGGAGAGGTAAATCAGCTCAAGCTTCAGATCGAAAGTTTAGCACACATTTTAAGCACACAAAAGAAGTGAAATATGCAGGCCAATTCACACTGCACAGACAGTCGCAGATCAACGTGAACAATCCACAGATTGCAGTACGCCACTTCTCAGACCTTCCATGACCCGTCAAATGGCCGATTGAGCATGTTTAATCTGCAATAACAAGCTTCGACAGAGGTATCACAAAATCCGACGATTCGAAGTGTCTGTTGCAGTGTGATTTGGCCTTATAACATTCATCAAATTGCTTAAAGTTCACTCATTATGAGCATTACAGATTGGAGCGTTACTGATTCAAATGCCTTCGATTTACCCCTGCAATTCATACACACCATAGCAATGATTTGTTACAATGCATTTAACTTCCATAATGTGAAGAGTGAAACGGAATATTCAGTGAGGAATAATGCCAGGGCCTTCTATGCATCAGGATTTGAATGGATTGTGAAACAAAAGCTATGATATCCAAAAACATTTTCATGAAAAATGTGCACTCATAACTAGTTTCATTTATTAAGGAAGAAAATGCAGTCATGTAATCAGGCCTTCCCACAGCATGTAATTATTCCCTAAAAATAATGCAATCATTAGACCATAGCAAATCACCATAAAGACAAGGTAATAGCTTAAACTCTGTATTTATGTGCAAATGACACGGGTATGAAGCAAATATGTGAGGAATTATTATCTTGAGATGTTTAAACAGGTACTGTAACCAAATAACAATAGTTGCATAGTTTGATTTTGGGTTGTTTTAAATCTTTTTTAAATGCTTCTTCTTTAGATAATTGACCCATTTGTGGAAGTGGAGATTATTGGTCTACCAGTGGATTGCTGCAAAGAGCAAACCAGAGTGGTTGATGACAACGGTGAGAGAGCAATAACCCATGACAGATTTTATATTATACACACAAACAACACAGTGTGCATTTAACCTTTTAATTGTTGGGGGATTGGTCAGTAAAGTGTCATTAAACTGTGAGGCCATTATTTGGAGTGCTCATTTGTATGTGCCTTTGTTTGGAAGAGGGGAAGATCTCACCTCAAACTTCACTCGGCAACCAAACAATTCAGTAATTCATGAATTCGGTTTACATTTGCATGTATTTTCTGATTCACAGGTGCATACAGTATAAAGCGGCACTTAGATAATTAAAGATAAAAAGAAATAAAGTGACTGAGATTTGAAGTGTTATTTGAAAAGTGGAGGTTTGATTTAGTGGTGGTGTATCATATCATTTTTGAAATTGGAACTTGACAGTATTTTGGATGTTGTCAAATGCAGACTATTAAGGGATATGTAGATGCAATCTTGTAAAGAGATAACCTTCTCGGGGTGTCTGTGTGCAATTGAGATTTGGAAATGGGCTGATTTTCTTTTTTATGGAACACAAATTTTCATGAAGGGCCATCATTTTGGAAGGGATTGTTGAGTAACTGCTCACTCTTGTCTGGGTTATTTTTCATAATGACACCAGGTTAAAAAAAAGAACAACATTGGCCCAAGAATAGAGCCAGGTGGGACCTCAGACTCTATAGGGAATTGAAAACGATCTGTATGTTAGAGCTTTTTGTCTAAGAAGGACTCTATATCTGTTGATTAACTGTGTTAAAAACAATGGACAAGTCCATGACAATAACATTTGAGTGTAACAGGTACTCTTGCAAGTTTAAGTTATTCAGCCACTCTGAGGAAAGCAATTTCAGTTGAGTGGCCTATTTTGTCTGTTTTGGGAATGTCAAGCAATTTTGTTTGAGGTGAATGTGAACATTTTGACACCTCCAGTCCAATCCTCTCATCCTTTCCATTATTTCTCCATAAAATAATCCTATTTGATTCTAATACCCCATCCTCTATCTTTCTTTCTCAGGATTTAATCCTATGTGGGAAGAGACTCTCGTCTTCACTCTTCACATGTCAGAGATTGCTCTTATACGCTTCCTGGTTTGGGATCATGACCCAATTGGCCAAGATTTCATTGGCCAGAGGACCATCGCCTTTAACAGCATGATTCCAGGTACCAATTGAATTATGTATATATATATATTTATTTATATTTTTTTTTCATTAGTCTTATATTTTTTTGTCAAGTATTAAGTCCATCATTAATTAAAGTGTACTGCTTATGCCTGATTATCTGTCTATATTTGATTGTCAGGTTACCGGCATGTGTATTTGGAAGGCATGGAGGAAGCTTCCATCTTTGTTCATGTTGCAGTGAATGACATCACCAGTAAGGTGGGCACCTCATGTGGTTAACACTGCTGTGTGCCATGGACCATATCTGGCATTGTTAATCTGCAATTTAAAAAAGACTGTGTTCTGATCATGTGTTTAAAAGACTGTGGAAAAAAGTCTGTTTCTAATATTTATTCTCATTAGGCATTGGACATTAACAGTAAACATGCCATTTTAATAATTTGTTTCAGATTGTCACAATAGGTTCTTAACATAGCTAAATGGTCTCGTAGACAACTGTACTCCATTAAAAAAAAACGTATCCTAATCATTTAAAAAACTATTTTTATCAAAGTATTTTTATATATTTATAGACTCATATAACATCTATATAGTACAAAACAGCACCTGAAACTCTTAAAAAAACAAAGTAATTTAGTTTATTTTTAACAAATGATCAATAAAAGGATTTCACAAAATATAGATTATCAATGAATCATGAAGTCAAAATAAATATTATGAGCTGTTTTATTTAAAAATAAACTGTATATGTGGTTTGCTACTTCGTAACCCGATGAAAATCCTGATTTGTGTGATTTTACTACTTTACAGCAATGAATATTAAACAAACATAAATATTATATATAAAATTACATAATATAATATACATAAATATTAAATAGGCAAAAGTTATATATTTTTTAAATAAAATGAATATATTAGATCAGTCAGTAGGAGCTAGCTTTAATAAATATACATACATATGAAGAGTTCAGATGCAAAAGCCTCTAAGTGCCATTTGAAATTTTCTTCTAGAATGATCATTTTTATCAAGCTTGTATATTTAAGTTCAGTAATTTCACTTAAATGGCAATGAAGATTACCTATTAATTGTCATTTAAGTGAAATTACTTTACTTAAATATACAAGCTTGATAAAAGTGGTCATTTTAGAAGAAAATTTCAAATGGCATTTAGAGGTTTTTGCATCTGAACTCTTCATATATATATATATATATATATATATATATATATATATATATATATATATATATATATATATATGAAGAGTTCAGATGCAAAAGCCTCTAAATGCCATTTGAAATTTTCTTCTTTAATGATGATTTTTATCAAACTTGTATATTTAAGTTCAGTAATTTCACTTAAATAACAATTAATAGGTAATTATCATTGTCATTTAAGTGAAATCACTGAACTTAAATATACAAGCTTGATAAAAATGATCATTCTAGAAGAAAATTTCAAATGGCACTTAGAGGCTTTTGCATCTGAACTCTTCATATAGAGAGAGAGAGAGAGAGAGAGAGAGAGAGAGAGAGACCCATAGCTAGTGTCATGATTCCTGTCTTGTATTCTCCTGGTCTTTGTGTGGACTTTTATGTTATTTCCTGTTTTGCGCCATGTTTTAAGTGAGTCTGCTTTTACCTTGGGGTTGAGTAGGATGAATGCGATATTCATGATGTACCTGTCACTCACACTACCCACAGTAAAAGCAGACCCGCTCTGCAGCAATGCCAGGTTCATATAAAATCCTAGAGTCCAACTAGGATCCCATAGGGGCATGATCAAGCTGAGCGTCTCAGATCATTTGAGGAACAGGTGTAGGATCCAAATGCAGCAAACATTTATCCAAACAAACATAATAAAAGTAAATACTGGCAACATGGATAAATGCAGACACAGGCAAGAAATGCAAACAAAACTGACAACAAGCAGCACGCATAGACGTAAGATGCATGGAAGGACAACACAAGACAAGGAACACAGTGGAAACAGTGGTCTATATGGTTTACATACACAAGGGGTGATTGGCATAAAGACACATCTAGGAACATTCAAAAAACTTATCAACAATAAAAACTACAAAACATGGTGCAAAACAGGAAATAACATAAAAGTCCATACTAGACCAGGGGAATACAAGATAGGAATAATGACAGATAGCTCCTACTGTCTGATATCAGCTGTGATACCAGCAGTCTGAATCTGCAATACTGTTACCCATTCTGATATGTGTGTGTTTTCCAATAAATTCCCATAAAAATATTGCTTTCTTCAAGTCAGCTTGGTAACTGGGTCAACACTACATTATTGTAATTGTTAATTACCATAATAATTATTAATAACCATTTAAATGGGAGTGATACAGACCTGTATCTACTACCTATTTTTCATGCTATAGAAAAAGGTTTATTTTATGTTAGATTTATCAAATATATCTATATTTGCACCTCTAATGCTATAAAAAGTAATGAGAAAGTTTGTATCGTATTCATACAAAGTGACACATGATGTTGTAAACATGCTCACTGCTTACTTATGCCATGCTTTTGTCCATAATTTGTCCCCTTAACATCCGGCGTCAACAACAAATGTTCTTTGTGTAGTTTGTCTGTTTTTTTCCCCTATCTCTCTTTCTCTCTTTCTTACTTCTCTTTCTCTTATGTTTGTGATTTCAGTGCACCCATCTTAGCTGTCTATAGAGGCAGGAAATTATTAGGATCCTCGTTCAAAACTCAGGTGTAGTGAGACCCAATCAGCACCCTGCATGCTCCTTGCAAACCCCTCCCGTTCCCCCCAGTGAGCGGTTAAGCCCTGATTCATTTGCTAGCTTTCACCATGCCAACTCATGCAAAATGAGTTGTGACATAATTGTGACTTCCTTCCTTGGCTGCATTCTCATTGACCCCTAAAGCAGATCCAGTGTCAATATCCATATAGCAGGCGACAGCGTTCACTCCTATTTCACTTAACTCAGGGCATTTAAGGGCAATGGTAGGGCTTTGGATGGCTTGTTCGCAGTAATAGAGCTCTCAAGCAGTCCATGAGAGAAATGCGTTGATCTTGGTTTGTGAAGTGCGTTACATCCTCTCTATTCCTATCCATGACTATGAGGGTCTACTATGAGAGCTGGAATTTAGCAGGTAATCCTTTTATTTTAGTCAAAAAATATCTCATGTTCTCAAAAGCTAGCTGGCGTAACTGTGTGGATTAGCATAAATGCTCTACATTTACTAGCAAATGCATGAAGCTATTTGATGCATTATTAGTGAGGAGATTAGATGGCTGAACTCTCACATGGATCTACTTGAACACGGTTCATGAAATGACACTGGGTGTTATGCAGATCGAGAAATGGCTGTTTATTTTGAGAAAAAAATCTGAAATATCTCCGTAATTATTAACAAAATGTAATACATATTTCAATACATTACTTTTTTATTCCAAACAAGCATTGTTTTAAGAGATAATCCAGTGTCATTTTTTTCATCAGAGATGATTGGACATGAATGTCCTGTCACCTTTCACTTATTCACATTACCACTACAATTTCCCAACATTGTCTGCATCTTCATGTTTAAAGGTCTGTGTTGATCACCCACATTTGTCTGATGATTCTAAATTCTGCTACATCTCTGATAACATTTCTTGTTTAAAATGTCACTGCTTTCTAAAGGTAACACATTTAATACAGGAAGTAGTTGTATTATTTCATAACAGAATTTAACTGACAATTTGTGGATAAATCTTGGCGAATTATCATGTTTCTTAAACTAACAAAACTCATCAAATGATGTTGATCGTGTAGCAGGTAAGAACAAAAGTGTTTTGTTGTGTTTTGTGTCTCTATTCTATACTGTAAAAAGCTTAAACCAACCCAATATGATTAGTTGGCCACCAATTTCATCTGCGTCATAAGACAAAGTAGATTGAATAAGTCATTGCCTTTTGATGCATTTGGGAACGCAGACCTCATTTCTACTTGTCAGACTGGTCTGATTTGATGGCTTTAGAAGGACACTGAAACTTGCCAGTTGGTTAGGCTTGGCAGGGCTGAGTGGCCACCTAAGGACCAGCAAACAACCGTTAAACTGGTTTAAGCTATTTTCTCAGCTGGGCAGAAGTCAAAAGTGGTTTGGTAAACATATTTTGTTTAGTTAATAAGTTTGAAGACTTATTACTAATTGTGAAGGGGATTAAAAGAGTAGCTCCCCACATTGTAAACAATTCATTGACAGCCTAGTTATTTGTTATAGTGTTTAGTTAACTCCACAAGTCATCTATTAGATTCATATTGCCTACCCATTTTCTGATTTCCCATTGCAGGCTCGAGCAGTCAGTGGTATAAAAGGACTGTTTCACAGAAACCCAAAGCAGTCGTCTCTCGACAGCCATGCTGCTGCTCTGCTCAAACGTAAGACTACCTTCGGTGCTCACCTCCTGCGCCGCACAGCCAGTGCCCCCACCAAGGGCCAACCCAAAGTCAAGAGGGGCTTCCCTGATATCTCCATTGACACAAAAGATTGCAGCTCGGAGGGTGCCAGTGAGGAGCGAGAATCGGAAGAGGGGCCACTTGTCCACCACAATGGAGATAGCGCATCTGGCAAATCATGGGGTCATGGCACCAACGGGCAGCTTCACCCTGACGACAGTAAAGGTAAGAGTACTTTCTTTTGTCCTGAGCCCCGTGCCACACCTTACAGAAACAGGGGTGCAGTGAGCGAACCTCTGAAGCGAGCCAACAAGTTGCGACTCCAGGATCCACTGGATGAGAAGCCGGGTGTGTTTGCACGTGTTGCTATCAACAGCTACGGGCGGATTGGGATGACTTCCAATTGCATTAAGTGTGCAATTGGTTCCAAGGAGAGTCCTGAATTGGAGAGGAAGGACACAAGCACCTTCATCCAATGCACTCCTGCTCCCATTAGACCTGAAAGGGCATCTCGGTCTCCAACAGCTTCCAGACAAGTTCAGCCAGAACCCATACTCAAACCACAAGTCTTGGCACAAACCGACTCAATGCCCAAATCAGACCCCCATGCTCTACCGAAGCCTGTACCCTTACCTAGATCAAGGGCAAAGCTCCGGCAAACATTGGCTGCACAACCCCTTCACCCCACTGAAGACCTAACTGTCAGAAATGCTCGCTCGTGTAGCGTTCCACGCCGATTCTTTCAGTCCCCATGCACCCCACCTCCTCCAATTCCAGACAACAAAAGTAGCCTTTGTCGGCAATGCCCGGCCCCACCCAACTATGGCAGCAACTACAGCGAGACTAGATCTGTTAGTGACGCAAAGAGATTGTCTGACAGTGACTCTAGCAGCTGTGATAGTTTGACCGGCCTTGATCTGCCCACCCTCTTTCCACCACGGGGAATGGAGAACCGGAAACGGGCCGCGGGGACACTGCAGCGTGAGATGAATGCTCTCTTTGCCCAGAAAATGGACGAGATCCGCAGTAAATCCCCCTTGTTTTTCGCTGGTAAGGTCTACACAGTTAGATGGATCTTCAGTTTTAGAATTTCCCAGTGCCTCAGTAATGTAGATTTCATTAGGTTGTGATGGAACCCAACAAATACCCTCCAAAGACCTTGCAGGTGGTGTGGATCTCATTGAAGGCTCATCTCCACTGTGCAATGTCATCAATGAGAACCTATCACAGTATTTTAAGAATTACTCTTGGATATTGTTTTATTGTGCTTTTGCCCAACATTACCTTTTAGTGTTTGTGTCCTTAAATATCCTAAAACCAGATTTTCAGGCAAGACAGTGGGGTCAAAACTCACTAGCTGACACAAAAAGGCATTCATCAATGTTTCTTTGTGATTTTGAAGTAATTGGTTTGTGAAATGATCGTGGAGCAAGGTTTTGCCAACATTGGCATTATTACTGTGATATGTGATCCAGAATTCCCTTCGTAAAACTTCATTAGCTTGTTGACCTGATAACAACATAGCACTCCTTAAAGGGTTAGTTCACTCAAAAATTTAAATTAGCCCATGATTTACCCAACCTCAAGTCATCCTAGGTGTATATGATTTCTTCTTTCAGACGAATACAATCAGAGTTATATTAAAAAATGTCCTGGATTTTCAAAGCTTTATAATGGCAGTGAATTGCTGCTTCTGTTTTTAAGTCCATAAAAGTGCATCTATCCATCATAGAAGTGCTCCACACGGCTCAGAGGGGTTAATAAAGGCCTTCCGAAGTTAAACGATCAGTTTGTGTATATAAAATATCCATATTTCAAAACTTTATAAAGTAAGATAACTAGCTTTAGGCCGAACGAACATACAGTACAGATTCCACTTAAGTCTAAGCGCAAGTAATGCAAGTAATGCAACGTACTACTGATATTTACGCTACGCCATGATGCACCACCCTACTTCCGACGCCACAAGTTGCGTGCATTAGGTGCAAGTTGACTGCGTATGGCTGTTTGGCCGGAAGCTATAATTCTACTTGGTTAAATATGAATATTTTTCTTACACAAACTCATTGCTTCACTTCAGCAGGCCTTTATTAACCATGCGGAGCCACGTGGAGCACTTTTATTATAGATAGATGCCTTTTTATGGACTTCAAAACAGAAACAGTAATTCGCTACCATTATAAAGTTTGGAAGAGCCAAGAAACTTTTTAATAGAACTCTGACTGTATTAGTCTGAAAAAAGAATGTCATAAATACCTTGGATGACTTAAAGGGAGAGTAAATCATAGGCTGATTTAATTTTTTAGGTGAACTATCCCTTTAAAGGGTCACTCCACCTCTGGAAAGATGATTGTGTATTTAAAATGGGTAATTTATGTAGAAGAAATGTGAAATTATTTTTGAATTTGGAGCTCTCTAGACTGAGAAAAGCCAGAAAATGTATTTTTGGCTTATGTGGATGAAAGACAACAACTCCCAGAATGCACTTGCTTCGCTGCCCTAGGAGGCCATGTCTACCGGTAACAGAGCACAGTAGGAAAAACAACAGTCTAAGCTACTAGTGAGTCTCTGTGATGAGTCTGGCCGAAAATGTGTTTCGAGATCGCCCAAAATCGGCTTTTGCGTTCTACAGTCACCATTCATTATGTTTACTGTGGCGAGCGGGATGAGTGAGGGCCGCGGGAGAACGGCGCGAGGCCGGTGGCGTGATTACCAATGCGCGACACCTGTGAGATGCAAGTGACCTCACACAGAGGAGCGGGGATTTTCTTAGCAATGTTAAAACGCTCATCAACCGATCACTTTTTTCATGTAAACTTTCATGTAAACACCACATTCAGATTCACCAATCAGAATGAATTCAGCTAGATTGAAACAAAAGCTGTGCATGTAAACAATGAATGACGACTGCAGAAAGCAAAAGCTGAATCCTGGACATCGACGGCCGGACATGTCCGGGAAAAAGAGGACGGTAACTACTAAAGTTACTACTCAGCTTTCTCCACAGAACAAGAGCCTACTAGCTTAGCTTCCAAAAAAAAAAAGATGGATGACACTATGTGTAATCCCAATCCTCCATAATGCATCCGTCTGCGTATTCAGTACCTTCGTCCATATTTTCAAAGAGTTTCTGCTGGTGAAATCAAACGCACTGGCACTGATCTGTGATAGGTTTGTTAGCGCATTAGGTCCAACCCCCTATAACTGGGTTTCTAACAATGGAAAGCCTAATGCAAATGGGTGGAGTGTCCCTTTAAGGAGGAAAATTAGTTTTTCTTATATTTCAATCAGATTAAATAGAGAGCAATTACTGTAGGATAACTCCCTAATGTCTCAGATTTGCCAAGATAGCAAAGTCTGCAATCAGGTTGTAATTATTTATGTATTTATTTATTTATTAGACAAAGATAATTTGATTAGGGCTGTGCAAAAATTAATTGCGATTAATCGCATCCAAAATAAAAGTCTGTGTTTACATAATATATTTGTGTGTGCTGTATATAATTATTTTCTACAAATAAATACCTATGCATGCATGTATATATTTAAGAATTATTTGCGCTTAAATTCTGTATATATTTATAAATACATAATCTATATTATATAAATATAAATATTTCATGAATAACACATTTTCTTAAATATATAGATGCATGTGTGTGTATTTATATATACAAAATAATTATATACAGCACACACAAATATATTATGTAAACACAGACTTTTATTTTGGATGCGATTAATCACAATTAACTTTTGCACAGCCCTAAATTTGATATTAACTTTAATGACAATTCCGCTAAATATTCTTAGCTATAAAAGAGCAAACTTTGAGCAATAACAATTTTGTCTGGGATCTCCTTACTGGGCTCCCCAAGGTCATGGTTAATCTCAAAATAAACGGGAGTTTTTAAATGGTGAGTTCCAGGCCTGAAAAGTTCTGGGAAACTAATGAAATTGAATAAAATAATAACAACTAAAATTTATATAGTGGATAAAATTAATATATATTTCTCATATGCCATTTGTATATGTGTAAAATTGAAATTCACTGACCAAAAGATGTGGTAACACTACCGCAAATGATTCATTGTATACATTTATTTATCTAATAATGCAGCCATGTTACTGACGGTAGTGCTGTCACAAGACTGTGAGAGTCACAAGAATCTTATATAAGTATGTACTGTACTGTATATACACGTGATTTCTAGACCTGCCCCAGTTGCAACACCAAGCATCTGGTTTGCGTTTGCTGGTTGGTTGGTCTGTCCCATGCATTTGAGCAAACACAAACCAGATGTTTGGTGTTATCCACTGGGGCAGGACTATAAATCACGGGTTTTCTGTATGGGGAATATTGACTATAGCTATGTTCTTGCATATTGATGTGTGAGCTGGGGGAGTGGGATTTATCATATGATTTATGAACGAGAGGGTGCAGCTGTGTTTTCTTATTCCTAAAGGTATCACACACATCCTCGTGTAGGTTCTCAGCTCCTTGTGATGTTTGTGCTGCTAACCTTCTTAGTCCTTACAACTAATTAGATCTCCAAACATTAACCTTCCAATGCCCTCCTTATGGGTATCTTACAGAGCAATCATGTTGTGTCAGTGCATTTTCCTGGTGTACCATCTCCTTTTTTACTAAACTAAAGTCCTTCTGTTTCATTCTGCACTTCTCCTGTTAAAATGCCTGTTTGTTCCTTCCTTCTTGCATGCTTTCTATCCTTAGTGCAAAACTGAGGGGCTGGCCAATTACCAGGTAAAAATACTTTACAGCTTTTTGCTTAAGCAAGTTTGACTTGATTATTTAACATTGATTTCATCATGATGTGTTATATTCACCATTTTGAATTTTAGCGTGAATGACATGACTACTGTATGTGATTTTGTTACGCAGTTTCAAAAGTGTGCCAAAAACAAATTTCCCTCTGGGGGACAAATAAAGTATTATCATCATTATCATGAATTTTACAGCAAACTTCAATACATAACTCACATTCTAAGGTCTGCTATTATTTGATGAAACAGATTGGGCTTTGTATATTTATATATTTGCATTTGGGCTTAAAGATTTTTTGGTAACACTTTACAATAAGGTTTATTAGTTAACATTAGTTAGTTAACAAGAACTAAGAATGAACAATACTTTTTAAGTAAAAACCATCTTAGTTAAATCTTAGTTAAAGGGGTCATGAATGAACTGGCTTTTTAAATTTTATTATATTGTTGTCTGAGGTCAACTTATGACCTTCGCTTGGTTTTTAACATCAAAATGAATAAGTAATAAGCTATTTTCTACCCTAGTTTTGAGCCTAGCTGAAAAATGCTCGGTTTATGGGCGTCTCGCACTGAAGACTTGGAAGTAAACGCCCACTGCTGTGAGTGGGTAACAGTTTTGCATATTATAATGAGTTTCAACTCACTCGTCGGTTCTGGTCGGTGCACGTGGGGGAAATTGTTTTGAAAACGTCCAATGTTGTAAAATGGCAACCGGAATGATTCGCCCATACATGTTCGACCCAGAGTCCGTGTGTTGCACCATTCCTGTCAGATCCAATATAGACGGCACAGCACCGTTCTTTAGTCTTAATCGGTCTGCAAATCCAGTCTTGTTGACAAAACAATCCTCAGTGAAATGAAGCGAACAGACGGACAGTGTTTTACCTCATCAGCTGGAACGTCATTAAAAATAAGGTTTATCCATGCAGTCTTATTGGAATCAAGAGGAAGCATATGCTGCGACTGTCTTCCACAACCAGGCACCACACAATATTTTGTATTGCTCGCTCGGTAGCTCGATCTGGTTTGTCATCACGAGCTAGGCCTATGTTATTTAGCTATGCATGTAATGCACGAATCGGTGGGCAGGGCTAAACCGGCCATGTTGAAGTAGGCGTTTTCTTCTGCGGGGGTGGTATTTTATTCTCTTTGACGTCATAGTTCCCCACTTTGAAAAACGAGTCGTATGCTGAGGCTGGTGTCAGCGTTTTCAGTTCTGAAACTTACAGGATATTCTTATAATATGATGACCTCTTAGATGTCAAACGCTCAAGGAAAATTTGAATTCTCAGTTCATGACCCCTTTAATATTAATTTCAACATTTATAATACACTATTGAAATAGTTAATGCACTGTCAACTAATATGAACAAAAAGTAAACGGCTGTATTTTTATTAATATTAACAAAGATTAATAAATACTGTAACAAATGAATTCATTGCTAGTTCATGTTAGTTAATACATTAACTATTTTTATCTAATGAAGTGTTACTGATTTTTTTTTTTAATTAGTATTTTAACTTTGATCATCTGTGACAGATGAGTTTGCATGACAATAAAATTGACTTAATATAAAGCCCAGAAACATTTCCATTTTTAAAATGCACTGGTCACTTATATTTTGGTTGAACAGTGGAAGTAATACAAGAACGGTGGAAATCTGGTGTAACTTTCCTGCATGCCCAGCCTTTGTTACAAGATGTTTTCTTGCGCATTCAATTTTGCATCACCCACACAGTCATATATACACACCAAATATTATTTAGGTATTCATGTATTGTTTTGTCAGTTTCTTTTAAATCATTGTATTATAATTTGTTTTTATTTAAAAACAAACGTTTGTGTCTAAATATTTGGTTTTGTTGAATTGCACTTAAAGCTGAAGTGTGTATTTTTTAAATGATAATAGATAGAAGAGTTTAAAAAAAAAGTGCAAATACTATACCACATCTCTGTGGGTCTATCAAAACATTACTCTTAAACCGCAACATTGGCTCAACCAATTGCGTTAATTTTAAGGCTGGTCTATGTTTTATCTGACCAATTACATAAATGACACACTTCAACTTTTAGTTCTTTCCTTTTTTGTTTTGCAGTCAGAAATGTGCATTATTCCATTCATGAGCAAAACCGAATGTTGTTAGTCTTGTTTGACATTCATGATATATTTTATGCAGTCTCATTGTGTGTGTGTTTTTTTTCTTATCTCTAACAGTATTTTGAGTGTCCCTATTCATATCTAATATTTTTCTGCTTGTTATGTGCTTCCAGAAAATTCTGAACTGCAGAGTCCAACTCCACCTCTAAACACCTCATGTCTGGAATCCATTACTGAGCAATTTCAGGAGAACACCCCTTTGACTTCAACACAAAGTCCCCTGGATACCTCACCACGTTGTCTCTCCACAACATTGTCTTCACCATTCTCAGCAATAACAACATCTTCCAATGGGGAAAATCCTAGCACTATGAAAAATAATGAGGACATTCTGAAATCATTTGCACTAACCGAGTGTATTGGTCCATCCAGCATCAGAGGCAAGGATTCTTGGAACAGCCAAATCAACTCTTCACTTTCCACAAATTACCTTGACATTGGATGTGATACTCCCCCTCTACCAGACCAGACAGATGGTGAGGTTGTGCAAAAAGCAGACATTAACCCCAACATAGTTGAAATAAAAAGAGGACAGTCTCTAGAGATTGATGCTGTAAAAGCAACAACTGTTATTCAGAGCTCTCAAAGGATTCAGGCGTTGAAGGGGGTGTTTGACAGAGACATTGGACGAAGCCTGCAAACAGGACTGAGGACCCCTGTCAGAAGAACCAAAAGCGAAGGACAAATGAAGGCGGTAAAAAAAGCAGACGGCCCATCAGTGGTCCCCGAAGTCTCCATTGACGCCACTTTAAATGACAGGCTCTGGAGCAAACTTGACCCCAGCAGCCATCGGGATAGTGTGTCGTCGTCTTCCAGCATTTCATCCAATGACACTGTGATTGATTTGTCCTTGCCCAACCTTTCCAGGAAAAGCCTTACCTGTCTTAGTGCTGCCCGGGACTACTCGGACAACCAGGTATCGTTGCCCAACAGGACCAACCAGCCTCGGTCAACCGTCGTGGCATGCAGCGTCTCACGCGTCACCAAGAGCAAGTCCAACCCCAATCTGCGAGATGGTCAGATGTGCGAGCCAGAGGACGAGTTACAGCCAAGGCCTCTGGTGGCCGAGAAAGACCCTAGCCGGCTCATGCAGAGGCGCCACACGTGGAGCAGGTTGTACATGGAGGGCTTAAAGCAGTCATCAACGCTTGCTGCTGCTGCTGCTGTCTCCAAGAGGCCAACCACCCCCTCAACAAAAGACATGGACAGCAACTCAAAATCCAAAAGTCTCGGAGATCTCACTTCAGATGATATTGTCTGTAATTTCGATAGCAAGTATCGCAGCATTAGTCGCAGTTTCATTGTGAGGCCAAGCCGGCATCAAGGGAAAACTCTGAGAAAACCCCCGAATGACCTAACAGAGCAGCTCAAGCAGCTCACCGACGTGGAACCCCTTACAAGCAAAGACTTTGCTCAGAGCAGGACCGATTCGGAAGTGGGACAGGAAGAAGAGGAGATGCCCTCTTTGCGGAGGAGTTCCTCACGGAGCCAGAGTCGGGTGAGGTACATTGCTAACCGTGCCAGGCAGGCCCAAGAGAGGCAGCGGCTACAAAGCCTGACCAGGACATCTGGGAGCCCCATCGAGGAGCGTGGCAATCCTGAAGGAGCTTGTAGTGTACCCCACAGTCCTTGTGCAAGCTTGGATCTTTTGAGCCAGCTTCCACCAGGACCGCCCCAACAAAGCCCCTTGAGCCCAGACAACGAGGTCTTCTTTATGCTTAAGCTGTAAAAGGATGAAAGTGTGGTTGAGTGTTTTGTGGGAAGCAAATGGACACAAGATGGCCACCCCCCACCTCTCAATCATTCAGATACTCCTGTGGATATGTTGAGCAGTCAAACATTTCTTATGTGCACTTACTGTAACACCTTCCATTTGTGGCTTGACGAAAAAAGTTAAAAGCACACACTTTTTCTAATGTCCGTTGTTGACCTATACTCCCAACCCTGTAAAATGAGCCGTTAAATGGGATGCGATGCTAGGTTTTAAACTTTAAATTGGATGCAACCGTTTGCTAGTTTATTTGTAAATGTGCATGCATTTATTGAAAAAAAGCCAAAGGTGTAAAACCAGAGGATATTTTTTTTTTCTGGTGTATAAAAATATACAAGGTTGCATATAGAAATGATTACATAAAAAAAACAATCTAAATTTAGATTATGCCTGTGGCATTTGTGGTACTGTAATACTATTTCTTTTATGTTTGTTTGTATTTTAAGATGCAACAATGCAGCAATAGATAAAAAATGTAAGCACTACTGATTCACCACAATAATTCCCTGGATTAAAGGGGTCGTAAAATGCAGTTTCAGATGAGTATATTATGTTTCTCTAAGTTTGTCAACTTTTTTGCACAAAAAAGGTCTAATATTTATAAAAGATTTTCTATACTCATTTTCACTTTCTGTAAAAAACACTCATTTGTCGTATTACAAAAGAATCTATAAGTTTAAAGTCCCCCTGTGGTGAAAATCAAGTTTTTAAAGGGATACTCCAGTTTTTTGGAAATAGGCTCATTTTACAACTCCCCCAGAGTTAAACAGTTGAGTTTTACCGTTTTCGAATGTATTCAGATGATTTTTTGATATTTAGAAGAACATCAGTAACCAGACAGTTTCTGGTCCCATTGACTTCTATAGTATATTTTTTTTTTTTCCTACTATGGAAGTCAATGAGACCAGAAACTGTCTGGTTACTGATATTCTTCTAAATATCAGAAAATCGGCTGAATGGATTTGAAAACGGTAAAACTCAACTGTTTAACTCTGGGGTAGTTGTAAAATGAGCCTATTTCCAAAAAAAAGTGGAGTATCCCTTTAAAGTTGTTTATTTGTCTATGGTGTTTTTAATATGATTTAAGACAAACCATGTGCAAATTCATAAGTCAACACCATTGCTGAGTAGCCTGGCATGCCAGACCTACATAGGTCTCGGAACTCATCATTGACAGGGCTCAATCCGAGAGGCGAGATAAACGGTTGTCTTTGAAATATATTTGTCTTTTCAAATATAGATAGTGCTACAACCAATCAGAGCAACAAAGAAGGTGACGGCTGAGTCCCATGCGTTTTCCCACCAGCGGAGCAAGTTGATATATTAAACTTTTACTGTTTCCAGTCCGCAAAACTCCGAACACAACACAGCAATGACTCAAGTGCCGTTCTTTGTTCTGGTTTTTAAAGAAAAGCTTAAAGAGGCTATATGCAGCTTTTCCCCCAAAATAAACGTAACAATACCCTTTTTATTTTACCATTTATGACTAAAACATCTCCTGGAGCCGGTTGCACCAACAGGGCTTTACTAAGCCTGGTCCTAACTGCTAAGTAGGTCTTAGTTAAGACCAGTCTTTAGAGTTGACCTAACGTCGGTTGCACCAACCAGGCTTAAGCCAAGCCATAACTACGCCTGGTCTTAGCGATGCGTGTTCATGTGAATGGCCATGGAACTCTAGCGGTTGCCTAGCAGCGTGCGTTGCTGGGTTACGCTGTAAACGATCTTCCGCTGTTTTGTTATCTTGTAGCCGTATTAATGGAGGGTCAAAGAAAAAGGAAAGGAAATTTCACTGACATTGAGATATTAAAGTTAATAGAGCTGCACAGTCAGCACGTGACAATTCGCTTCATTCGCGGAAGCATTACGTCTGTCTCCTGCACGCGAGAGGAGAGGTAGAAGAACGTTGGTAATAAATGTCAGTTCAATTGTAAGTTCATTCTTTATGTGCTTAGGAGTGTACGCTATGTATCGTCTATGATGATATTGTAATCATTGTTTTAACTATGGACGAGGCACTGCGAGCTGACATCACATTTGTTTCGCGTGCTTGTTTTCACTGCTTGATGCGTAACTGCAGTTATAGGTATGTCCCCAAATAAGTTTTTGTCTTATATTTATATCATATTATGTTATTAAAATGTTATTATTTTATACAACAGTTAAATTAACAATAAGTTAACATTATGAGTTACTTTTTAGACACAATATTGTGAATATTGTTTGTTTCCCCTTTATTTCGCTGACGAGAATTTCAAAATGAAACCGTAGCAGAGTCTCCATGCAATAGACAGTGAAGATTTGACCGTTATTAACAAATCATTTTAACGATCTGTCGGAAAACGGATAGGCCTATTAAAGCTATTATATACCTAGAATTTGACTTTACGCCTGCTACTGACTAGGCGTAAGATTTACGCTCGGTCTTAGTGAGAAGAGGGCTTAAGCCTGGATGGTGCAACAGTCGTAACTATTAGGTCTTAGGACTTAGAATTAGGACTTAGAATGCTGAGTTAAGACCTACTTACCTTAAGACCAGGCGTAAGCCCTGTTGGTGCAACTGGCCCCTGATGAGCATACTGACACCTTGTCCGCTCACAGTGGGTGCACCTATAAGCCTGTATCCTATTTTTCCTATTTTCTGTCGGGTCGGACTTTTCCCGCGCTGTCTGCGGATGTGACGTCAAGTGCGTTCATGTTAAACGTTTCAGATCACTCTGCCACCACCGCTAGTCAGCAAGTAGCCTACACTACTCGCAAGCAGAACACTTTATCTCAAACAATGTTCTTACCTCTGTAAACATAATGTTGACCTCCTTGCAGCAGATGACTAGAGAAGTGTGCACGTAAAAGCGCGCGTTACGAGAGCAGTTCTGTTTTTTGGCCACAGGTGTCAGTCGCGAATTTAAATTTTAGGAAACGCATGTAGCCTCTTTAAGTTCAACTCATCCAGAGTCGCGGTCAAAGCCGAATCGAAAGACAGCTGTTCGCCAGCAGCAACCATTCTTTGTTTTTAAGTAGCAGTGAACCGTCGCAACTCTGTCGTCAATATGTTAAGCCCGCCCGCCGACTCTATACACGATGTGATTGGCCTGACCAGAGTTTGGTTTTTCCAGCTAAAACGTCTATGGAGAGTTGCTAGACCACATTGGCTGTGAAATAATTTTTGCTGCCACTAGGGTGCCGTCTAGATTTCTAGGCTAATTGCTGAGTATTTTCTCTTTAAAACTGCAGTGAACCTAGCCTGACTTCTTCATACTCATATTCTTGTCGGAATATGAGTCTGAAACTGCTCCGTAGGGCTTTGATTATGAGGCGTGTCTTAACCGAACCAGGAAGAAAAAAACTACAACCAATCAGAGCAGCGCAGTATGTGAACTACTTTGCATACAGTTGTCAACTACAGAACGTAGCCTAACTTTATTTATTTTAGAAGTTAAATAACGAGTGTTGCTTCTTTTACTTACTCCTCCATGAGTGCCACCAAAGGAGAAACCACAACGACCACAGGCTTTTCATTACGTCCCATCTTCTTAGCGACCGTCAGAGCCAGCTGATAAGTTACACTTTTGCCGATTCATGTAGGAAGGACGGCAAAGAGATCTTTCCGATCGACAAATGCCTTGATTGCAGATGCGACAGCGGAATCTATACATCTCAATTCTCCAGCTGCAGTCATCTTTGAGGAAAAACAGTTAAGCGCTCTTTGATAACGTGACGATTACGTACTTGAAGATCATCTGTCCATCATCGTATAAAGCCCGCCCTGGCAATTTGATTGGCCCGAACTTTTCTTGTCTGATCATAATTTCTCCTCAATGAATCGAGTCCAGGCCGAACTTCCCGAGCAAAAAATGTTGTGGGCGGGGTTCGGGCTGGCATCCAGGCTACAGTGAACCAAAAATGCGGTTTGAAATCGTTGGTGTTTCTGATGTCACAAACTACCTTGTAACCAATCACGACAACGTGTGACCATCAACGATTGTACCTCTGAGCTAATTTTTTGCATATTCATAGAACCATGTATAGTAAATGAGGCAAGGATGTAGAGAAATTTTCAAGCCATTTAAAGGCATGAATTAAAAAAATCAAGAAAAAAACTTTTACATATATAATTTTGGAGATCAAAGATGAGTTTTAACGGATACAATTATTAACTACAGGGGGACGTTACATTGTTTCTCACTCATTTGCCAACTGTTAAGCATTTAATTTAATGGCAAATTTCATTCTTTGTCATATTCTGGTCTGTTGTAAGATGTATAGTGGCGTACAAACTGCTGAATAGTTGATAACATTTGCACCCGTATGTGTTTACCCCGAGATTTATAACATGCAAACAAAGTAAGAATTCCTCCAAGAATGCATTGCACAAAATTAATTGAAGCACTGGAAAAGCAACATAAATGTAACCAAATATCTATAATGTTTAATAATAGCAAAGCTAACATATACTATAATAAAATATATTCAACTCATGCAAATATTTCTGATTCGGGTATACGTACTGATTTTCTTAGCAACACTCAAACAAATGTAAAATGTAATGCTTGGAGTCTTAATAGCATTAAATGCTGGTTTGACATTTAACACACTGTAAGATTAAAAATAAATCTATTTACCGGCGTTGCCTCCGAGGACAAAATACTTGGCACTGCCAATTCCTTTGTGAAATGTGAAACAGGCGCTCAGGCACGTCGTTAAAACTAAACTACAGCAATGGATTTGTAATGTTCTGATGTTTAGGAAGTCAATTTTTTTGGAGGTGCCCTTTCCTTACATCCACTAACATAACAACGTCTGAGTTTGACCGTCGTACTTGACATCTTTATCCAACAGCAGTATTGCGTGATTGATGGACTGAAATGAGTTGTTCAGAACACACAATATTTACTGTACATACGACAATGTAAATGAACGTGTCAAATCGAATCGTGACATCACAATTCTCCCGATTTCAAATCCAAAAGAATAACTCATACTTTGAACTGGGAAGTTAGTTTTGAGTTCTGAAACGTTCTGTTTATGAGTAACCACTATGTGTGTGTAAATATCAATAACATTTTGATTCTCCATTTCATGACCCCTTTAAAATGTGTATTAGTCAGCAGCCAAATACAAATGCATTTTGTCTGTAGTTACTGGTATGAGAACAAATGTTGTAACCAAGCATGGAATGTATTTGTCACAATAATTTATGGTCCCTTGAAACTATTTTTTAAAGTTGTTTTAGATTTAGTAACATAAACGACTGCTATGTTCTGTTGTTTTAGTTTTTAATTTAGTAAAAATGCAACATACAGTATGTTTAGTTAATTTAGTTACTAATGAAGTGTAGCTCTAAAATACAGTAATAGATATAAAATTGCATATCTTCACTTTATGTACAGTAGTTTACCTTTTAAAATTGAAAAAAAATGTCACTTCTCCTTTGATCTACTGTATTTTTGTTTCAAAGGTTTTATGATTTAAAAAATGTACAGTCTATTAGAGTCTAAGTGTGAAGTGTTATTCAATGTCATTGTCCTACTAATA